TGGGATGCCCGGCTCAGGGGAAGGAGGTGCACACATCCGGGGGGATGCTCGGCCCCGAGGTGGGATGCTCAGCAGCCAGGCAGGATGGCTGATCCTGCCCAGCATCACAGCCCCGGGGCGATGGGATGCCCAGCACGGGAGTGGAAGGGATGTGGTACCCACTGCAGGAGGAAGGATGTGGAAAAGCCATCTCCAAAGTCCCACGGACGCTTTTCCACCTTTGGTTTTGCCGCTCCGCTCCCCTCTCCCAGGCCAAGGTCTCAGTGAGGCTCCCTGGGCTGGCTCAGGCAGCAGCCATGTCCCTGTGCTCAGCCCTGGCTCACCTGGGCAGGAGCACCCACACCTCTCTGCACCCCATTCCCATGCAGGAAGAACCAGGCAGCACTCCAGGCCGGGGCAGAGGGGCTGGAAGGCTGGAAAAGGGCCTGGGGGTGCCAGTGGCTGGACACAAACCCAGGTGAGGCCAGGTGAGCAAGAGGCCAATGGCCCTGGGCTGTGCTGGGGCCCCTCCTGCCAGGAGAGACCCGGAGGGGCTGGAGCGTGTCCAGGGCAGGGAACAGAGCTGGGAAGGGAAAGGAGCCCCAGGAGAGGCTGAGGGAGCTGGGCAGGGGCTCAGCTGGAGCAAAGGAGGCTCAGGGGGGACCTTGTGGCTCTGCACAGCTCCTGACAGGAGGGGACAGCCGGGGGGAACAGGGACAGGAGGAGAGGGAACGGCTTCAGGTTGGGCCAGGGCAGGCTGAGGTTGGACAGCAGCAGGAATCTCCCCATGGAAAGGGTGCTCAGGCACTGGCACTGCCCAGGGAGGTTTGGAGAGCCCATCCTGGAGGTGTCCCAGGAATTCCTCAGTGCTCTGGGCTGGAGACAGGGTGGGAATCAGGCACACTGCATGGCCCTGGAGCTCTGCCGCCGCGCTGGGCTCGCTGGTTCCGCAGTGTCGGCACTGAGGCACGGCCCTGGCAGGTCCCGCTGTCTTGTCAGGGATTGCGGGATTGTCTTGAGGGATTCTGCTTCCTTATAAGGCCCTGCTGTTCCCTGCTCCCGTGCCTGGGGCCGGGTTGGCATGGCCTGTGGGAGAGCACAGCAATTCGCAGCAGGCTGCCGGGACACCCTCCTGCCCTGCCCAGCGACCCTCCTTGGACCCTCGGCTCCCATCTCCACACTGCCCGGGCAGCAAGGGCTGTGTCTGCAGGCCCTGCCCTGTGCAAGGAGGGTTATAAACCAGCCCAGCCATCTCCTGAACATGGGAGGGGGCTTTTGCATCCCTCGGGGCAGCTGGCTGGGAACCACCTTGTCCAAGGAGATCTCAGTGCAGCAGTGGTTCCAGCCCGCAGTGTCTGACAGGGGAACTCCTCGGTGCTCCTGGAGAACAAGGATGACAATTCCTCTGCCTGAAATAAGGCTGTTAGGGAGCAAACACCCTAAACTGCACTTCATTGGATGAACCTCTCCCACTGCTTCTTCTGAGGCTCCTCCGAGGGTGTAAATGTGGTGGGAAGGGAGATACAGGGGGACAAGGAGAGCAGATCGCCTGGGATTGGATTTCCAGCTGTGAACGATCCATACATGGGTATAAAGACCTCTGCATCTCCAGGAGGAGCTTGGGACCGTGAGCTCCGCCAGCACCACATCCCGAGGTGGGAGATGTGCTCCATGTTCCCAGCACCTGGCTCCTGGACACTGTGCACCCCTGCAGCCCCTGGGTGCCAGAGCAGTGACCCCACCCTCAAGGGAGCCTTCTCCCTCTCTCCAGCCCCAACTCCTGCTCCCAGGCAGCCCCTGGGGACACGCCAGCCTCGGCCAAGGCAGCATCCAGGGAGCTGAAGCGCCCCTGGGGCTGGCAGCCCTGGAGCGGGCAGTATGAGATCATGCTGGGTCCCGCTGCTGCAGACATTCGGTCATTTCCCGCAGGAAGGGCCGTGTGACGTCCCGCTGGTGGCGGCAGCAGTCGGGGTGGAGCCACAGCTCCGGGAGAGCGGCAGGAGCACCAGGACACCCGGCCTGGCCCCTGCTGCCACAGCAGTGACACTCCAGGGCTCCAACTCCATACAAATCCGGCTGTTCTGAGGTTTCAGAGCCCCTAAAACACTCCATTGAAAGCTTCCAGCCCTGGTTTTGATGGAAGAAATCTTTACCCACTTCACCAGCACATGTCTTTGACTTCCATGCAGTCAAATACCACAACAATCCTTGGAAATCAGAATTTGACACATTTAATGAATAAGGACAAATAAAATTAAAAAAAAAAAAAACAAACCAAAACAAAACTGTGTTTAATGGAATTTGTTCTCATTGCCTTTAAAAATACCCCCTCAACTCCACCTAAAACAACAGAACCCCTGTGGCAGGGTGGGTTTTGCTCTCCACAGTTAAACTTTTTCAATAAACCAGAATAAGGCTGATCATTCTCTTGCCAGGCCACAGCACAGGGTTTGCTGGGGTGCAGCAGCTCCTCTCCACCAGCCCCTGCCTGGGAGCACTCAGCAGCCCAAGGCTCAGGAAGGCTCAGCATCACCCCTCTGGAAAAGCTTTGCCATGTGTCTGTCAGCCCCAGCAGCAGCCAAGCAGGAGGCGCAGACCAAGAGCTCCTTTGTGGTTAACAGGATTGCTGTGCTTTATTCCTCTCCACAACAGGTTCCTCAGGACCATGTGCCGCGGCACTCTTCCTTCAGCAGGCAGGTGATGAGATGTCCAAGGAAAATCTCTTCTCTTGTCTGGTTCACGCCTGTAAAATAACCCTTCAGGCAACCCCAAACTTCCAAAGCCTGCAATGCAGCTCGTGCTGCTCCCTGGTACCTGCCTGGTGTTATCAGCAGTGCCCTCTCATCACCCTTCCCTCTGGCTCACTGGCCTCCTAGGCTGAAGATCAGTTCTTTCCCAATAACAGCAAAGCCTTCCCCCAATTACTCCAGAGCCAATTGGGTGGGAAGCCTCAAGGATGTTTTTGTAAAGACAGAACACCAACAGTGTCCCAGTCTATAATTAGGCATCTGAGCAAGTTACAGAGGATACAAGTTCAAGGAAGAAGAGAGTAAGAAAATTTTATATGCACTGCTTTGTCCAAAAATAGATTATGAAAGGCAGAGCAAAAACTATTTACCAGTCTTAGGGGGAAAATGAAGTAAATTTCATTCAGTTAAAGCTGAAGTAGATGTTCAATATTTGTGTCTGACCTGCTACATTGCTGCTGCCACCCAATGTGAACCAATCTGAAGAGTTGGGGGTGTACAAAGAGGGGAGGAAAACACCACACCTCCCCTCCTAATTAGCACCAAAGGGGTGATTAAAAAAATACAATTTCATGTGAACAGGTTCAACAGCCTTTCAAGAGCTCCTCTGCATGTTGCCTCTAGCTGGCAGTTCCCACACTGCCTAGTGAAGATGACTGAAATGATTGCAGTAACAAATAAAGACTTGTCTCTGATACAAAATCTAGTCCAGAGGGCTTCCTTACACAGTAAGCAGGGCACCTTGCATAACCAGGGCTTGCATGTTGGCCCCACAAGCAGCAGCAGCTTGCAGAGAGCCACACGAAAATGGGAGCAACACTCCCAAGCTACCAAGAGGAGCCAGACCCAGTTCATTTCTTCTGGAAGAAGCCTGTGATGGAGACCTGCTTGTTGGCTCTGCTGGCAGGAGCTGCCCCTTTCTTTGGGTTCTTCCTTTCCTCCTTTGGCTCCCTCTTGGTGGGCAGCACGGGCTGTTTCTGTGGGGCCGGTGCCTTGGGCTTGGGGAATTCATCCTCGCTGTCCGTGCAGGACTCGCTCTCGTAAACCTTCTCAGTCACTGGTGGAAACAACAGGGAAGGGAGCAGAGGATGATGATGATGGTTTAGCCATTCTTACACAGAGACCTCCCCAGTGCAGCCTTCCCACTGCACTCATGGGAAGGAACACTTTGGGTTCAAGGAGCACGTGTCAGACACAGGAACTGAGTCCCAAGTTAAGCAGTAGGAAATGACCTTGAGTGTGCCAAGGGAGGTTTAGGTTGGGTATGAGGGAAAACTCCTTCCCTGAAAGGGCTGTCCAGCCCTGGCACTGCTGCCCAGGGCAGTGGTGAGTCCCCATCCCTGCAGGGATTTAAAAGCTGTGTGGATGCCCTTGGGGACATGGGCCAGTGTTGCCCTGGCAGTGCTGAAGTCAATGCCCTTAGAGGGCTTTTCCAAGCCAGTGATCCTGAGATCCTAACTCACACGGCAAAGGCTGACCAGCAGCCATCAGCAAGTGATGAATCTCAAGGAGATCAGAATCAGTAGTTTGGCACTAGGCAATGGAACATCTACTTTATGGCTAAACCCCACCATTCTGACTCGGTCCCATTTCCACAGGGGCCAAAGCAATCAGATTTTCCAGCAATCCAGGCAAGACAGCCTGGAGACATCCCCAGGCTGCTCTCACCAGAGCATTGGACAGCTAGGGGAGAGTGAAGCAGACACCACCCACCTCCAGGGGCACAAAGCCTTCGGGGCAGCTTTGTTCCACAGAGGTGGCCAAGGAGGGCAAGCACAAAGCAATGCTTTATGAAAGATCAGCCCCCAGCCCTGTCTGCAATCAGGGCTCTGCCTGAAGGGGAGCGCCAGCTCGCTGCTGTCAGTGTCCGGCCACGCAAAGCCCAGGGACATAAAACATCCTCACGGAAATTAAACTGCAGTCAGCCCCACTGAGGGGAGACACCGTCACATCCCAGCAAATGCCCTCAGATCAGCCTTCCCAGCAGTGCTCTGGGATTCTTCTAGTAAGCCATTTTTCTTTAGCAACTCTATTCTTTTAAACAGATGTCTTAACTTCCCTTCTTCTGGGAAGCTGGCTTTCGCTTGTATTAATGCATCAAATTAAATAAGGTTTCCTACGTCACCAGGACTGGGAAGAGGAATGCTGTGAAATCCTCCTGGGCAGAGCCAGCAGGACCTCAGACTGCAAACCAAGCAATCTCCCTTGAGAGGCAGCAGGCTTCTCAGGGAGCAGCTTCCCCAGACCACTGGGTGAACTTAAACCCTTATCCTGCTCTCAGCCTGTCAGGAACCGCTGGGAACTCCTCAAGTGTGCAGTTAACCCCTCCAATTGCAGCAGCACAGTTCAGATCAGCTGTCTTTGGCTGCAGTCTCAGCTGAACTGCAGCAGTGTGTATGTGCAGCACCCATGGGTGCAGAGATGCAGTCACTGATGTCCCACTCACAGCCAGACTCTCTGAACCACAGCGGCTCAAAGGATGGGAGCTCTAAAGTGCTGTAACACTAATTTCCCTCCAATGCACCTGTGGAAACTCCAATCTCCAAGCCCATGTGTGTCCTTTGAAGCTGTAGAAAGTTCAAGGTAGAAACACCCAAGCTTAAACCTCAGTAATTCCCCTTTACTAGAGACTAAGAGCAGGCCCTCAATCCATGGATTTCTGTTGATGCCTAGGAATGTTTCTTGTGCTTTACTCCACACACACTTTAATTGCTCAATTTCCCTCAGGGCTAATCCCTAAATCACTTTTGCTTTTTGACACCAATTTCTTGCTATTGCAACTATTGTGAAAACCATAACTTAAAATAGTGGAGAAATATAAAGTACAGCCTCATTCTAATGTTAGGATTAAAACCTCTCAAAAACCTAGTGTTGGATTAAAAATAAAAAGAGCAGGGAGAGGGGGGAAACCCCTCTATTTCAAAGAATAACTAAAATTCACATTAGCCTGGGAGATTTGCAAGTTGTTTAGCCTTTGAATTGTTAGGCCTGTGCATGGAAAGGGTGTGGAATGGAAGGGAGAAGAGAAACTGGACAACAGCCAGACAGCACGTTTGGCACAGCAGGCTGGAGGATTTCTAGTGGAGAAAGCAGCATCTCTTCCCCAGCCAGATCCTCAGTACCAAGCTCCATCCCACAGGATCTGCCTCCCAAGGGCACAGCAGGGCCTTGCATTCCCCTTTCGGAAAGGGGATGTGAACTGTGAAACCAGGAGTCTGCATTTCCCAAGGGACTGTGAAACCCTGTGGGGATAAAGAGCAGAGAAACAGAGGCAATATTCCCAGCTGAACCCAGAAAACACACTCCTGTGCTCTGGATGCAGAGCCTGTGCAACCCAGCTCCCCATCTAATGCTGTTTTGTTCCGTTTTCCTTCCATTTCAATGGCTCTCTCTGGGGTGGGAGAGGAGAACACCCCTCAGGGTAACCAGCCAAAGCTGTCAGTAACTCTGTGCAAGCCCAGTTCCTGGACAAGAAAGCAGCAGTGGGGATTTCAGTCCCAGCACAGCCAGCTGCTGAGAGCCACGGCTCTGTGCTTCTCTGAAGGAGACACACCAAGCTAATGGGAAACAGAAGATGCAGCTCTGCAGACAGGTGCAAACACACACACAGGCTGAGGCTGGGCCAGGAATGCCCAGAGTCTGCATGGCCAGCACCATCACGGAGCTGGACAACAGCACCTCATCCTCCCCAGCACGCCCTGAGCTCCACTGACATCCCCTCAGCCCAGCCAGGCCAGGGAATCAAAGCATCCCACACAACCCAGCTGACAACACCATTACAAAACACACACTCCATGCTCTCATGTGTTTAAAGCCTCAAAAACAATCCTCCAAAACCCAAACCAACATAGTCTGAACATTTGCAGCTCTACTTCAATGTCAGGAGATGGAGGAAATGAATGCAGTGGTGTTACACAGCTTTCTGCAGGCTACAGGAGGAAGCAGAGTCCAGTCAGGCTGGAATTTAAAGCCTCTGGCTTCTGTAGGAATTCTCTTCCCTTCTGAAAGCAGAGCCACCCTTAGCAGAAACAGAAACCCTATGAAGTATTTAAGCTCCAACTTTTTATCTGGGATACTCTATGTTTCTTTAACATATAATCAAGTTTTGCACAACTCTGGATTTATCCTCAAAGGGAAAAAAAAAAACCCAACAAAGTTATCTCAGCCAGAATTTATCCCAGACCCTAAATCTCTTTCTGTAGCATCTTTAAAAGCTTGCAGCTTTGGAGAGGAGAGTAAATGAAGGTGGTAATCATGATGGCAGAAAAAAAGAGAAAAGAACTGAAGGAAAATCTGCAAATAATCAAAAAGGATAAGGATTCAGCTCCAGCTCTGACTCCCTACCCAGGCCTGCACCAGAGGCTCAGTTACCTCAGTCTGGGAGCAGGAGCCCCAAGTGGGATAACAGATGCTGTGATTCTCCAGCCAGGGAGAGGCTAGCCTGTTAAAGTGGCCAACACAGTGAGCTCCAGTGAGTGAGTGCAGGGCACAGCCAGCCTTACCCATGCAGCCTTCCTCTTCATCGATAAACATCTTGGATTTCAGCACGCGCCTCCTCTTCCTCTTCCTCCCTCCAGCTGACACCTGGGGGCATGGCAGCACTGTGAGCAAGCAGAGCTCCTTTCTCATTACCCGAGGGCAGCTAATCACTCTGATCTGCTCTCACCTCTGTGGATGCAGGCTCCAGCTCAGTTTTCAGAACAGGTTCAGGGGGTGGAGATGGAGCTCTCTCTTCCTCGGGTGTGGGAGAGGGTGGCACATCTGCAAAGAACACCTTGATGGCACACGGGTCTGATACTACACACTGCAGCTCCCAAAGGAAGGAGGGTGGGATAGGATGGGAGAAGTGCCCTGAAAGATTTTTGCTAAGCCAAAATAATCAGCTCCACCCAGAGAAACGTGTAAACCAGCCACAGGAACTGGCAGGTTTTAGCTATACATTTCAGTTACTTGTTAAAGAGAGTGACTGTTATTTGTTTAGAAATGAAAGGAGGTGGGGTGTGGTAAAACAGTTGTTGCTTCACTGGTGGTGCTACACATCCCAAACAATCCGTGCTATCAGCTTAACCCAAGAATTAAGTGCAGTACACTATCACACATGCTAAAACCTTTATTTGAAAAGAAGTTCTAAAAAACCCAAACCACCACAAAACCCAGAAGTTGACTCTCTCACTGTTTGATCTCCTTGCTCTCCTCTGGGTTCAGGGACAGGGACACCGGGCTGCACTCAAAGCCAAGACTGATCAAAGCAGTCAAGGACACCTTTGGGCATTTGCAGGGAGCACAGCGAGCTCTGGAGCCTGCAGCAGGCACGTCACAGCGGGACAAGCAGGGCTGCAGAGCAGGAGCGAGGCAGGGTCACCCTCCTGCGGGGCTGGCAGGGGGACAGAGCTGCGGGGGACCCGAGTGAGAGCGGCTGCCACGCAAGCGCCGGGCTGGGGCACAGCTGGCACCGCGGGGACAAACGGCTCCTGTGACCCACTGCTTCACCCCACACGGATGGGGCTGCCTGGCTGCCCTCAGCCCAGCACGGAGCCGCGGTCTGGAGCTGTCCCGGGGGACTGGGGCCGTGTGAGGAGCCGGCGCTGCCGGGCACGCGGCCAGCTGACCTCCGCAGGCTACCGAGGGCTGCAGGGACACAGTGCTGGGCTGCCAGGCCAGCAATAAATCACAGTGCTCCCGCAGGGCCCCGGCCTCCCAGGCACTGCAGAGAGAGGCAGGGCAATGCAAACAGAGGGATAACACCACTGGGCTTCACCCTGCTCTGGGGGCACGGCCACGCCACGGCGCTGGAAGCGTGCGCTGCCCAGGGCTGCGGGCAGCTCTGGGCTCCGTGTCCATCCCAGGCTCACACACAGACCCTGGGCCCATCCCAGGCTCACACACAGACCCTGGGCTCTGTGCCCATCCCAGGCTCACACACAGACCCTGGGCCCATCCCAGGCTCACACACAGACCCTGGGCCCTGTGCCCATCCCAATCTCACACACACGCTCCCCAGACTGCCCAGCCTGGCCTCTGCCCTTTGCAAGCATCTTTGGGAGTGGACAAGCTAAACCCAGCCTGCTGAAAAGCCTCTGCCGTGCTCAAGCAGGGGCTGCTGAAGGCATTGTCAGTGGGCCAGCTCCACTAGACTCCTTGGGGGAAATCTGGGCTTTTTTCAGCTTCCTTCAAACCATTTCCCCAGCTTTTGGCAGGCAGAAGGCCTTCTCCTCACGTCAGAGTGTTTAGGACTACTATCAAGCTCGTTTATTGCTTTATTATCCTCTTCTAGCCAACACAGCCCTCTGACATGTGATAACTCCTGAGTCAACCACTAGCTGCTGCCCACAGTTTGCTCAACAGCAACAGCTGCATGAAATAGATACAAGTTGGGCAACTGGATGGACCAAAGATGTAAATCCTGGCTTTGTTCAGTCTGCTCTGACCCTGCCTGGAAAAACTGTGAGAAGCTTTAGTGCTGGTGCTGTGGCTCTCCAAAACCCAGGGAGTTTGTAGGTCACAGTGCCACTGAAATCACCCTCCAAAGTGGCTGTAAAACACTTGTCAACACTGAGAAACGCTGCCTGTGTTGGTACAGCTGAGGCTGCCAAACCTCCTGTCCTCTGTGGGAGCATTTGTGGAGTTTGTTCTGGCACTGGAAGCAAAACAACCTGCAGTGACTAAGGAACCCTCGTACCAATATAACTTTTTAATGAAAAATCATTTAAATGGAGAGGATTGTGCCTTATGCCCTCTGTGTGTTTCCAGTGTGGTACCATGTGCTGATGCTGCTGTAAGGAGAGCTTATTCAGGGCTGCTTTTAGTACAGACTAACACAGGACTAGGCAGAAGACCTGGCCTGACATGGAATTGCCCCTAAGTGCTTCACTCAGCCATGCAGGCTGAGTTTCACACCCACAGAACCTTGCCAAGTGTGCCTGTCACTCCAGGCCCCTTGTGCTCTCTGGTGTTGCTGATTCCAGTTGCCCCTGTTCTCTGGAGAAACCTGTTTCCAACCTTTCCAAGCACAGATGCTCTTCAAGCCCAGTTGCTGAATACATATATAAATTTTTTTTTCATCCAACTCACAGTCTTATTCTGTACTCAATATAATATTACCAGTTTGGTCTCATTAAAAATATTCCAAACAATTCAAATCTCTGGTTGGATTTAGAAGGGCAAGCAGCAGGACCAAGGGGCTGGGTTCTCTCAATTCTTATTTTCTCTTTTCAAAGGGCAAACTGAGTGATATCCAAATTTATATACATGAGCTGTAATTTTCATAAATTTACAATTCTAATGCATAGCACAAAGAAATAAAGAATAAAGAGGGTTCTGATGCAGGGGCAGCAAGAGCAGTGACAAAAAACCTCCCCAGTGCCTCACCACCCTCTCAGGGAAGAACTTTTCCCTAACATCCAACCTAAACCTGCTCTGACACAGCTCCAGCCCTTCCCTCAGGTCCCATCTCTGGTCACTAAAGAGAATGTAAACCTTGGAATAAATGAGACCAGGAGGCATCCCACTCAAAAGCATTAATTGCTAAACATGTGCTGATCTGGTGTCCCATGGGAGACCAGAGAGTTCCAACATTCCAAACTCCTGCCTGACCTCACAGGATGTGGATGAGCTGAGAGATTCCAGCCAGGCAAGCATGGGTTGATTTCAAAATTCCCTCCTCACAGCTATACAGCTCAGCTTGTCAGCAGGGGAGTGATGAGGAAATGGAAAGACAAACATTTAAAGAAATAAGTACCAAAAAGTGTGGACATATATGTATATATATATATTTTAAGCCACATTGAAATGTGATGGAATTAAGGCTGATCACAAGAACAGCTTCCTGAGAGATTTATCATGCTGTGGAATAGTCTAAGAAGTGATACATACTTAACGAAAAAGATGATTTGCAATTATGTGGGCAGCAGGGGAACCATGAAAACAGGCCTAGAGGTGGCATGGATACTGCATGGTACCAACAGCAGGCACCTCTCCCTGGCACTGCAGATTTTCCTGATGTCCTGGCTGCTGCCCATGTGCCAGGCACACTAAATGAGGAACCAGCTTTGGCTACTCCAGGGACTCCACCTCTGCACCAGCACACCCCATTTGCTGCTTTACCTTCTTTCACTGGAGGTCTACACCAAACTGGTGGTTTCAATTACTCTGTAATGATCCCCAAGTTCCTTTCCTGAGCAGCTTGCTGGATTACTGTTCCACTTCGCACATACTCCCGAGCTCAATTCCAATTTATTTCCCAGTTATCTACATTGAACGGCACTCGTCACCTCAATTATCCAAATTCTTTGGGATCCAGCCCTGCTGCTCCTCATTATGAGCCCAAATCTTGCAGAGTTCTGGGCACCCCACTCCTGTCACACCAGCAAGGAGACGCACAGTCTCATCAGATATGGCTCAAGTGCTTTGCCTCCAAATTCCCTATTATCCCTTCTCTTTCTGCATGTCTTGCTTCCAACACTGTCTTCCAAACCCTTTCTATGAACAGGCAGAATAAAGACACTCAAACTGACCCTGTGGGGAGAGGGAGGCCACTGGTGAGTGTTCCCTCCCCACATGAACTCCTCTGACAGCCCTACGGTTCTGGAAGGAGCGCTATCTTTCACAAGAGATTTGGGAACCTCCTTCCCACACAGGGGCACTGGCAGCACACTTGGTGAGGAGACAGCCAGGTCTGAGCTAAGCTCAAACAAAGACTGAATCTTTGTTTTGAGACATCTCAACTCCGTGCCCAAGTGCTTGCAGCACAAAGATAAACAGAAGGCTCAGGCTACAGCCATTTCCACGGTCTTTAGTCCTTTAAACTATTCCCTCAATCACTGACCAAGGGATTTGGAGAGTCATGTTCTGGAAATCAGACCCTGACCTACATGCCTGATTGTTTACAGATCTTCTTACCTTCCTCATCACTGCTGTCAGATACAAGCTGTTTGATTCGCTTCCTCTTTTTCTTGACATTTTCGGGATCCCTTTCCTCCTCGTCATCCGACCTATCTGCTCTCTTCATTTTACTGCCACAAAAAGCAAAGGGAAAAGAAAGGGAATGAACACCCATTGTCTCTCATGTGTGCATGAAAGCATCATGAGCACTTGGACAAGCACATTCCTCATGGAAGCAAATCAAATGCCTCTTAAAAGCCTGAGCATCACATGCTCTGAACTCCACACTGTACACTGAGCTGAACGCTGCACACCCACTGCACAGCCAGGCATAGGTGGCTGAGCCTCTGCAGGCCTCCCATCCTTCCCCACATGCAGCTCTCCAAAACAAGGAGGATTTCTTCAGCCCCTCTGCAGTTCAGCCCAGTGCCTCACCTCGCTTGGCCACAGCAGCCTGGCAAGGGCCTAATTCTGATCTTGTCTCTTGAGCTCAGGCTCCCAGTGTCCCCAAAAGCATCACTCAGAAGCTCTTTTGACAGACTGCTTGCCACTGACTGACTATGAGGTAGTGTCTCAGAATCCTGGAGCCATTTTTAAAGACTACTGGAAAAATAAAATAGCTTCTTTCTTTTTACTGTTGGCCAGACGTGTCAGACGAACAAGCCTGGAGGCTAAAGGCCCACGTATCCTCCAAGAGCTGGGACAGCCCAAGTGGCCTTCCCAGCTCCAGGCTGCCAACACCTCCAGGCCCTTGGCTTCTGGGACAAGACTATCACTAAGACAAGCAGTTAGTGCTAGCTGCCATGGTGGGCTGGGTGGCGTGCTTACCTATTCCCTTAGAAATGGATTGAGACCACCAATTAATTACTCATAGGCCACCAGAGAGCCATCAGACTGTAGTGATTCTTTGTCTCTGTCAGTTTGGGTTGGATTAAACACAAAGGGCTGAGCTTAAAATTAACTTGGAGCCTCAGCCCAAAGTAAACCCGTGGCATTGAAAGCAGCCCCACATGAGCTATGGAGATCAACAAGCACAACTTTGTGCTGCAAGCTGTGTACATACAGGCTGGGAATGTCCCACCTTCCCTGCAGGACAGGTGTCCCTGCCAGCCCTCCCCAGGCTGCCTGCAGGGTCTCTCCCAGGCTGCTCAGTGGGAGGCTGTCTCGTGGAGAGCCATCCCCTCCCACGGAGGGCAGCCGGGCCCTGTCCCTTCCCATGTGCCATGGCACCCACGGCCCTGAGGTACCCACAGCACCAAATGGAAAAGGAACACCAGGAGAGAACCCCAACAGATGAATTTAGTCAGGTTTAACACAGTTTAGTAGATGGAAACAGGAGGTGAGCCGGCAGTGTATGACCAGCCAGCTCCACGCAGGCTGTCCCCAAGCTGGGGACACAAAAAGGGACCCTGAGGGCAGACCCACCTTTTCTTGTCCTTTTGCTGAATTCTGGCAGACTCTGTTTTCTTCCCAGGTTTCTCTGCTACAGTGCTGGGAGATGACTCTGGTTCTGCTACAGCAACTGAAGGCTTCACTGCTTCTTTCTCCTCCTTTGGCTGCTCAGGCACAGAGTTGGCTTTGAGTTTATCTGTGAACAAACCATTCAAAAAGAACAAACACTGGGCATTCAGTCTGAATGACAGCTTACAAAGCAGCTGGCTAGCTCTGTGCACCAAGGCTAGAGCCAGCACTACCCATCGTGTATTCAGGGATCTGGACTGGCCAAGCTGTACCAGACATGGGAAAAAGAAGGGCATGCTTTAATTTCTAGGTGATTTTCCATGGTTCTGCTGCTCCTGATGTCAAGCCACCATGTGTGCTGCAGCAGTTCAAACTCTCTGGAGGAGGATGGGGAGGCAGTGGCAGGAGAGGCTGCTGGGAGGGCCCCAACATGGTGCCAGTGCCTTTCTGGGAGTGCTGGCAAACAGGCTGGCTGCTTCCCTGGGCAGGGGCAAACAGCACTGCAACGACAGCTCCCTTATTTATCATCAACCAAGGACCCCAGTGCTGTTAACCCAGGACTTTCTGGCAGGGGTGGAACCTTTGAAGCCAGGAGAGACATGCACATAGGGAATAAATCTTTCTGCTGGAATCCCACCCTCTGCTCCATACACATAATCATTTCCAGTTCTGCTCAGTCTGCTCCTTCTCTGCAGCCACCCCACAGATTTCCTCTGTGAGCTCCCTGACAGGACTCAGCAGAGAAGGGAACCCTCTGGGAATGATGGAAGGGCATCCCCAAAGCCTTCCCCATCACCAATGGGTCACCCTCACCATGCCTCTTTGGGTTCTGTGTGCTTGGGCCTAGGGCTCTCCTCAGACCTTTAGCATTTACTCCAGTTAACTGCAGTGATTGTCCTGGGGCTGAGAGTGCCCTCAGCTCCCCCAGTCTCACCAAAACAGGGACCAAAGAGTCCCAGCAGGGCTGTGCCTTGTCTGCTCAGTGCTGGAACTGTCCCCTGCAAGCTCTGACAGATGTCTTACAAAGTGAACTGTGCTGTTTACTCTCTCCCAAAACTCCTCTGTGAAGCCTCTTGTGCTCTCTGCTATAAGGGAATCTTTGAAGGAGGTCCCACAGTCCTTTTCCAATATTCCAGTATTTAAAAGCTCCAGCATCATTTCCTTTGACTTGGGTAATTCAGAAGGGACCTGCAGAGGCCACCTAGTCCAAACCTCTGCTCAAAGAGACAGGCCACCCCTCAGTTTTATTCTCCATGCATCAGTCCTTCAGTTTTTAGGAAAGAAATTAACCCTAAAACTAACAATGGGCTCCTCAGTGCTGCGTGATGAAAAGCAAGCACCATTAACATGCCCTGCAAAACAGCTTTTGGCAAACATCTCACCCATAGCTGGTCTTCCAGCCAGGAGAACTCACTTTAAATCAGATTTCTTCTGCACTAAAAATCCTTCCTGGGTTAGTCTGCTCAAATATGTCATATTAATTGATCTCCCTCCAGCAAGCTTTTTGTCTGAAAAATTCCACTGAAAACCCTTAATTTTTGCTTTAAAAGCTGTGTGCTAAAACATTAACCCCTTTGAGTGCAGAAGAGCAGGAGAAAGTATAGAAAACAATTAGGAAAGAGGGGATATAAAGAAAATCCAATGAGCTTGGTAGAGTGGGGATGGGGAGGAAGAGTTCTGCTCCTTTCCATATCTTTCTCCCATCATGGCTCTAGTACAAAACATTTGATTCTACTTAGTATTTTCAAATTTATATCCAGCTCAAATAAAGTATAATTGAAAAAAAAGAACAGATACTTCAAATAACCCTCAGGTTTGGGTTTTTTTTCATGTGTTTGTTTTTGGAACTACAACAGGCTGTTCCCTGACCATGATGGCCTCTGAAAACAGAAAAACACTTACTCATAGCAGCTTTTCCAAAGAAGTTGTTCATGATGCTGTTCTTTGTTAGTGGCTTGCTGCTTGTTGCAGACACCTGGAAGCAAAGAAAGGAATAAGCACAGGAATTGCTCCCAGCCCTCAAGGTGCACAGCAAAATAATAGAGAGCATTTGTTCCCACTGCTTTAGATTTCAGCAGATTTAGCAAACTCTGTTTTGGACAGTTTGAAGATATTCACTAGCCATCAAAGGGGGCACAGTGAGTTCCTAAGGACTCCTTAGCCAGGCCCTCAGATCTGACTTGAAATAATGCTTGGGGACCAGGGTCAGCTCCCAGGAAAGAACTGCTCTGGTTGCAAACCATCAGTGCCTCAGTTCACAGCAGCCAACAGAGGAAAGAAGAGGGATTGGCCAACCAGGATCCAGCTCCTCTGGCAGTAGGCTGTTTGCAAGGAAACATCACTGCTCTGTTGCACCAATGCAACCACCACAGTGAGAAATCACACCCACACCACCTAAGAAAGTGCAGCCTCTAATCCAGCTTATTTTCATGTAAATAAATGGTAACCAGACACTAAAGTTCCAAAAAAACAGCCCATTTCCCCAGTTCTTAACTCCCTATAAAAACCAGAGAAAGGAACCCAAACCTTCCCAGTTATGAAAAGGCCAAACCATCCACAGGGAGTGTTACCATTTTAACGCCCATTTTTCTGGCCACATCACTTGAAAAACAATTACACTAATTAAAATGAAAACATAATCCTATCCTGGAAAAGCAGCAGTCCACAAGATAAACAATTTAGTCTTGCACAGGTCAAGCTCCTAAACTTCCCTCACCCACCAAGTTTAAACACCTTGATACTTTTAAGACCTGGGCTTCTCAGGTTTCACTTATTGCTCAAAACAAATCCTTTTAAGCACAATGGAGAGAGCAAGATCCTCAGCTGGTGTGTACATTGGGATAGCTGGAGACAGCAGAGCAATTGAGGCTATGCTGCCTGAGATCCAGCTCATTGGGAACATCAAAGCCATGGCAAATTCTCTTCTGTGGAGACACCCGGAGTGTGGCACGAAGGGTTTTTGCCCAGGTGACAGTTAAACACTCCCAGTGGAGGTGTGCTGGCAGCAGGAGCAGTGCAGGGGTGGCTGAGCTCGCTGAGGCACTGTGTGACAGATGGTTAACACCGTGAACCGGGGGCTGAGGTAACTTACACCTGGAGCCTCCTTGGCCTCTGCCTTGGCCTCCCTGGCCGTGTCCTGGGCCTTGGCCGCTGCTTTGGCTGCAAACATGCCCATGATGCCTTTCTGCTGCTGGGGAGGGGGCCTGGCAGCCCGGGGCCCGTGGCCATTGAGGGTGCTGGTGCCATC